GGGTAAGGAGCTTAACCTCTCTATGCCTTAGCTCATCATCTGGGGTTGTTTTGATATTATGTTTGTAAGTACTCAATAAATGTTAAGGATTAATATTTTTTGGTGGTTCTTATCCTGTCTTTGGGTGTCTTGCTTTCCTTGCAGTTGTCCATCCAGGGATGATATTGAATATACTTAACAATCAGCAAGGCACTTCTCAGAAGAGACATGGGCTTCTCACTAATCAGAACAGACATGGGCCTCTGACTAATTAGAATGGGAGGAGGTAAAAAGGATCCCGAAGACCCCCTGTGTGGAGCAGGTGGTAGCTAGCTCTTTTAGTTCCTACCTCATAACATGCGTTCCAGGAGAACCTGGGGAAGCTGAGGAAGGACTGGAAGGCGGAAAGGGAGGGCGGACTTGTGGCTTTCTCAGCAATTTGTAGGGAAGTATTTAAACATTTAAACATCACATACATCATAACCAACCATATTAACTCAATGTCAGTAGTGTGCCCATCACTCTCTTTCCCACCCACTCCCCCATCCAGCATGGCCCTTGCCTTGTCCATGCGGACCAGGAAGGAATCAATGAAGTCCTTCGGAGCGCTGGGGTCCAGCATTTCCCTGTGCCTCTGGATGTTCTCAGTGATAAAATCTTCCATTTCTTTAATTTTGCTGTGCACGTGAGTGTGGATGCCAGGAAAGTGTTTCAGGATGCCGGAGAGGAGTTCAAACATCTACAGGGAAGCAAGGAGGTCCCAGAGTCTGTTCTCTCTGGGCTGGTGCTGCAAGGTTGAGGTTAGCAGAGCAGAGCAATATCTGAAAGGCTTAATTCACCCCCTGGCTTTGGGGAATGTGCCTCCCAGTCGAGCAAACATGCACATACATACACATACTCAGTGGTGTGTGAACAGGTGCAGCCTCCCCCAATCACACTTACCTCTACAGGGATTTCTTCTCTCATAGGCCTCCCTTTCCTGAGGCCAATTTCCTACCTCCAGTATGACTCATCACCTTTCGATGCCTTCTTGCATCGGTGTTAGGACAAAAAGCATCCGGTTTTTGCCCAGGGTCCACCCACCCCAATTCTTGGCCCACCATGGAAACTTTGGCTTCACCTGGCCGTAGAAAGAGCTAGCAAGATCGGAGAGATCTTTCATTAAATGTAGCAACTGTAGGAATCTGGGGTCCTGGTAATTAAAGCGCTGGCCAAGGATGATGGTACAGATGATGTTAGCCATGGCGAGTAAACGACGAAGGTGGGATCCAGATTAGTCCCCTGTGAACAGGAGTTCTGTTACGGTGGGGCCCTACATGGTCCTTCTGGGAGGCTCTGACCTGGCTGCTGCCATCTTAGCTCAGTTGGTTGGTTTCTTTCTCTTTCCCTTGGCCAGACTGACTTTCGCTGGGTCTCTTATCATGCCTTTTTCTGGACATCTCCGGCTCTGTGTCTCATGGTTTTCTTGGGCTCTGTCTGGGTCTGACTTTCTTGGTGCACCTGCATCTTTCTCTGGTCTTGTCTCTGACTCTTTGAGACTCAGCCCCTTCTTCTCTGTCCTCTCTCTTTTCATGCCCCTGTCTTCATGGCCCCCTCCTTGGCCTTGCAGTCACTTTGTGTCTCCCCTGACTCTATTCCTCTCTTTACCCTTTTCTTTCTAAGTCCTTTCCTTACAGTTTCTGCTTCTCGATCAATCTTTGTCAGTGTCCTGGGTTTTCCCTCTGACTTGCTCTCTCTGTCTCTCTGCTTTCTCTGCCTATTTCTCTCTCCGTCCCTGTTTTCTTCATTCTCTTTCTCTTTTTCTGTCTCTGTCTCCTTCTCCCTTTCCCTGAACTTGTCTCTGTATCTCTCTGTCTCTATCTCTGGGTCCTTCTGTCCCTATCTCACCCACCCCCTGCCTGCCCGTCCATCCCCTGCCCCAGCCCCTGGGCTCACCCCGGGATTTCTGCAGCTCCTTCACCAGACACTGAGTCTCCTCTGGGATTCGTTTCTCAATGCTCTGCTTCCCCATCCCGAAGTCCTCATGGTGAGCTGAGAGAATTGCCGAAGGGCCTTCCAAGACTTTCTACTGGCAAAGACCACACCTGATTGATGGGGCATGGAGGGAAGGTAGGGAGGAGGACACATGAGGTGTCCCCTCGTCTTTTCCCCAACCCCCACCCCCGTGCCCCACTCACCTTTTCCCCTGAGGATGGGATCAATGATGGCAATGTGCCCTCGGCCAGAGAAAGCCTCAGCTTGATCCACCAGAGCCTCCTTCACTGCCTTGTACCCACACAGGATGACAACAGGCCGGGGTCCCAGGTAGACTGTGAAGACGTCCCCGTATTTCTTCTGCAGCTGTGGAGGCGGGGTCCAGCTCTCACTCTCTCACTCAAGAGAAGAGTCTTCCTCTTACACCTGGATCACACCCTCCAGCTTAGCCTAATGACCACCACCCATTCCCATCGAATCCCTATCAAGGAAGAAGGGACACCTGAACTCTGTGGCCTCATCCAAGCCTCCCTCATATGCCCTTGCCCCAAATGTTCTCCTCTCTCAGCTTTTCCAAGAACTCTCCCAGCTTCGAATTTTAAAAAATGACAGAGACTCTGGGCGCCTGGGTGGCTCAGTTGGTTAAGCATCTACCTTCGGCTCAGGTCATGATCCCAGGGTCCTGGGATCGAGCCCCACATTGGGCTCCCTGCTCAGCAGGAAGTCTGCTTCTCCCTCTCCCTCTGCCCCTCCCCTGGCTCCTGCTCTTTCTCTCAAATAAATAAATAAAATCATTTTAAAAAATGACAGAGACCCCTCACATGTGAGCTCTAGTACCTCTCCCTCCTAAATCCTGCAGGACACAGCTCAAAGCCCCACATCTATCATCATAATTTATCCCTCCAGTCTATCTTCTCTGCATTCCTTCTTATAGGAATTCCAGAAGCTTCTCTCATGGACATATTGAGCCAGATGGCAGATGGAGGCTGGAAGAAGACAATCCCCAAGCTGGCCTGAGAAGTCCCACCCACAGTTTGAACCCCAACTGCCTGGCTGCCTGTGAGCTCTTACCTGTCCACTCACCTCCTGCTTTCCACCCCCTTCACCCTCCCCAACTCCGCCTGGAAGGTCTTGAGAAAGCCCTGGTGGTCTATTTGCAAAATGGTCCCCAGGAAGGGCAGAGGCCAAGGTCCTGGAGGGAGGCGGCCCCGGGAGGCTGGGTGACCCCAGAATAGCAAGAGGCCAGTAAGGACTGTGAGAAGCAGGAGGGCTGACAGTACCATGGTCCTGGCTGTGTCTGCCTTCTATCCTGCCATCCCTCTTTAAAGGGAGGCTGCTCTGTTGCTTGTCACCTTTTATCCCCCCGTGATCTCTGTGGGTGGGTATGCCATAAATATACCTTGGGATACCTCTTGGTAACTCTCCAGTGGCAACAGGGAGCCCAAAGGCGGCAGGTGCTGCAGAAGCCAGGAAGTTTAGCATTTCACATGGGTCCCAAAACCATTCTATTGGCCTCTGGCTGGCCCAAGGTATCTTAGCAGGCAATGCCCTTGAACCTGGCTTCCTGAAGGAAGGGTAGTGGTGCCCACAGGTGGAACATGTAGAGGCTGGTGAGGGACGGTTGCACCACAAGGATGGCTCTTGGCCAGTTATCTTAGAGGGTGGCATTGCATCATGAGGGACTGAGAATAGCTCAAGGGCAGAATTGGTGCATCCTGTGTTCTTTGGGAACAGGGATTTGTTCTGGGCATCAGAAGAAAGTGAGATATGAAGAAAAAGACAAGGTCTGATGGGGGAAGGCTAGCTCCATGTTGGACGCATTTGGGGTTGCCTGATTCAACCATTCATTCATTCATTCATTCCTCAACAAATATTCTGCCTTCTCGGAGCTGGCATGGTAGTGAAGAAGTTCTCACCTTCCAGAAAGATCCCTAGTGACCTGACGATAAATGGGTCTCACATAAAATAGCATGGATCACCATCTGACTAGGGGATGTCAGGCTTTGGATGTTTATTTGAGTGTCAGGGGGATTGAAGGGCACTATCAGGGAATCCAAGACACCAGTTTAGGATCATGCACCTCAGGTGGCCGTGGGCCGAGGACGCCCTTACAAGAGAGAAGCACTAGGGAGAGTCAGTGAGAATGAAGACAGCAGTGTACAGCAATGGTCTACAATGTGGTGAACCTCAAAAATATTATACTGAGTGAAAGAAGCCAGACACAACAGAGCACATATTGCATGATTCCATTTACATGAAAATACACAGAATAAGCAAAGCCATAGAGACCAGAAGCAGCCTGGTGGTTGCCAGGGGCTGAGGGGAAGGGGGAATAGAGAGTGACTGCTAATGGGTACAGGGTTTTATTCTTCGGGGATGAGAATGTTTGGAACTAGTTAGTGGTAGTGGTTGTACACCATTGTGAATGAACTCAATGCCACTAAATTATACACTTTAAAACGCTTAGTTTTATGTTATATGAATTTCACCATAATTTTAAAATATATTGTTGGGGGGTGGGGGCACTGGGTGAAGAATTTGAGTTTGAGAGCCAGGGAGACAGAGTATGAATCTTGCTCCTCCACTCCCAGCCATATGACCTGGGACAACTGATGCCAGTCCTTGGCCTTTGTATACTCATCTATAAAATGGGCAAAATCATTATACCCACCCCATGGAAATACTGGAAGGTGGATTCAAGTGAGATCATGTTTGCATAGATCATGGAGCACAAAGAGTTGCTACATGGAGGTGGTGGTAGTTCTATTTTTTTTTTAAAGATTTTTATTTATTTATTCATGAGAGATAGAGAGAGAGAGAGGCAGAGGGAGAAGCAGGCTCCCAAGGAGCACGGAGCCTGATGAGGCACTTGATCCCAGGACTCTGGGATCATGACCTGAGCCCAAGGCAGACGCTTAACCATCTGAGCCACCCAGGCGCCTGGAGGTGGTGGTAGTTCTGAGGAAGGGGGAAGTCACTGGGGGTAGCTGCGGCCTGAGAGGCAGAACTGAGCCAAGTCTCCTCTCTTCGCCCCCAGCTTTTATATATACACCACATCCGGAACTCTGTTAACAAAGGAAAGAAAACACTTGCACGAGTTTTTACAAGAGCTGCAGAATGACGGACTGAGATGAGGTGGCAGAGAGGACTTTCCCAGGGAGGTGGCACCCAGGAGGGGAAAGATGCTGGTTGGCAGTGGGTCTCTCAGTGACAGGAAGACCCAGAGAGAGGCAAGGAGCTGTTCTCTGCAGAGGTGGGGATACTTCATGATCCTGGAATCCTTTGACCCCCTTCCTTCAGCATTCTCTACGAGCCAGAAAGCTGATCTGGTACACTGGGGGCAGTTTGCCCACACCATTCTCCTGGGGTGTGAGGTCAATGTCCTCAGGGGCCATGGGGCTGGCCACAGAGAAGTTCTGGAGGATGATGATGAAGAAGAGGAATAATTCCATGCGGGCGATGCCTTCACCAAGACAAATGCGCTTCCCTGTGGGCACAGAAGATCGCCAATATGGGCACAGAGCCAATGCACATCCTCTGCCCTCTCACATCCCAAATCCAGACATCTGTGTCCATTGCAACAGATTTGTATGGGACTGGCCTTCAACCTGCAATTCAGGGTGGACTTTTAGGGGTTCCTGGGCCCTCTGAAACCAGGTGCAAACATTTGGGTGGATGGGCCTTGCACATTTTTTTTCCAGGAGAGAGTTTGTAGCTACTGTTAGATTTCCAGAGGGTTCAGTGGCCCCCAGAGAATAAAGACACATTTCTGGTTGCGTGTGTGTGTGTGTGTGTGTCTGTCTGTCTGTCTGCCTCCACTGTGTAGGTATGTGCACATTTCTGACAACATTTTTAATGTCTTTCATTTCTAATATGGGGAGAATAGTACCCATCAAATAGGGCTATTGTGAGGTTAAAGAAATTAATATTTATAAAAATTCTTAGACTAGCTACCTGGCCTGTACTAAGGATACTATAGGTGGTTATTGCTTTGTGTTTCTTTCTGGGTGTGTGTGGTGGGGAGTGTGTGTGTCTGGGAAGAGTGTGTGTGTGGTAGGGAATGCATGTGTGGAGGGGCGTGTGTGTGGTGGGAAGTGTTTGTGTCTGTGTACGTGGCATGGATTGTGTGTGTGGGCGGTGTGTATGTGGGGGGGAGTGTGCATGTATGTGGCAGGGAGTGTGTGCGGTGGGGAACTGTGGGGGAGGGTGTGTGGTAGGGAGTATGTGTGTGGCAGGGAATGTGGGGGGTAGTGAAGGGGGACTGTGTGTGTGGTGGGGAGTGTGAGGGTGTGGGGAGAGTGTGTGTGGTGGGGAGTGTGAAGGTGTGGGGAGAGTGTGTGTGGTGGGGAGTGTGTGGTGGGGATTGTGAGGGTGTGGGGAGAGTGTGTGTGGTGGGGAGTGTG